CCCCCCCCCCCCCCCCCTGCCCCAGGCACAGGGAAGCAGGAGGGTGTGAGCCCATCACCCAGGCACCTCGGCCAGTTTTCCAGTGCACCACGAGCCTCATCCTCCCACCCCATCTCCTCCCCAAGCAGCACTTGCAGAGGACTAATGTGGCCACGGGGTCTGAGTCACGGCGTGACCATCACAGCCACCCCAAAGTGATGGGATCTGGGGGTAAATATTAGTACAAAGTGAAGGGCTGTGTACATATTTTCTCCCTGCAAGGTAATGATGAAATTCCCAGCTCCTTTTCAACAAGCCATTGGAAAAAACAGCCTTGTGTCAGCACTCTCCAGTCACCGCTGGTTCTGGCTAGTCTCAGTCCAGCATGCAAAGGTCTAAGAGCTTCAGGTCCCCACCGCAGCCTCCTGGGCTGGCCAGTCCTTTTGCTCATGGTTTCCAAGCCAATGTTTCCCATCTGGAGCATAGCAGCGTGCGGGCTTTGCTGACCGTTCGCTTCCGCCTGGAAGCATATACAGGATGTGGCAGAGACTCTGAGGACAGCTTATTAATTGCATTAGCAGCACCAAGCGGTTTTCCCCTCCCAAAAAAGATGCAGCAAGAGAAGACAGATTGAACCAGGCATTTATTTCTCTCCCCACATGGGTTGGTCTTTGGTTCCCTTCTCCAGGGCCGTGGCCAGTTGGGCTTGCTTTGGCTGAGCTGTAGGGGAAGAGATAGGCTCCTCCTGCATGGCCACGCCAGTCCCTGTAGCTTGGGGAACCCAGACCAGCTCCAGTGTCTGCCCATGCAAGAGCTGGAGAACACCACTGTTGTCCTCAGCCCAACAGAAGGCAAGCCAGCATCAGGGTCCCCAAGACCCCAGACATCCTCCAAGGCAGCAATATTTGCCCTCCTCCCTCTCAGAAACCCCAGCCTCAGATTGGGGTCCTAAACTGGGATTGATCCCCTTAAAATTGCTTGTGGCCAGGCACTGGTGGTTGCTACCACATTGATAGGATGAGGTTTCCCTTCCCTGAAAGCCCATTCTGAGTCGTGCTGATGTACTTGGCATTCATAGAGAGTAGCACAATAAAAAGGATTGCTCAGATTTCTTTTCCAAGCTTTGCATCCCACAGAAATGGGAATTATGGGACCATAACACGATTCTGTCGTCCATCCATCCTCTGCCACAACTTTGGAAAGGTTGGCCAGTGTCAACTAGATTTGACAGAAGGTCTCAAATACATCAGAGGCCTGTTTTGCAAAAGAAGAAAGACCCATGGAGGGAAACCACAACGTGACCCAACGGTGCTGGGACTCATCCCACTGCAACGTGATTCAGCCACAGCGAGAGGCACAGGAGGAGCCGCGTGGGACAGAGCCATGGAAAACTTGGCTTCTGCTGCTCAGGGAGCTGTTTGTTATTTTTAAAGGCTGGGAACTATCTCACAGTCCTTGGTGGTCATGGTTGCTGCATCTTGCAGCTATCACCACTTCAGGTTTCACATCCAGCTCTGCCCCACACCTCCTGCAGTGGAGAGGACATTTCGTCTCAGTGTCTGCTGGGGTTCACATGTCATGGGGGCTGTGCATCAGGCTTAGGGCATCTGTTAGGGAAAGTCCCTGGCTGGTCCTGTGCAGCTCATCCTCCCTGCAATCACTTTAGGCCAGCCGAGCTGGCAAAGGCATAAGGAACAGCTCCTGATTCAGGGAGAGCCCCTGGAGGTTTGCACAATGTACCTGGAAGCCAAGCAAAGAGCCTGGAGAAGGAGCAGACCTTCCCCTTCTCACCTGAGCCCACTAGTAAGATACCTCCACCACCTCTACCACCCTTGGTGCAGAAGGGCAGCAAAGGGCACATATCCTCCCTTGGCTGCTGCTTTCCAGCTGCAAAGCTCCCTCACTGGTGCCCCGGAATGAGTAGGAAGCAGCCCCCAGCATCCCCGACATCCCCCACCTCGTATCTGCCCCACCAGAAAGAAACCAAGATGAGCCGGAGGGGTTTGATTGATTTATCCACTGAAGATACAAGTTTCAGTTTAATAACACCATTCTGTCTTGTTACAAACATACTAAAAACCTACAAAAAGAAAAACAAGTTACACCCATCATACACGAAACGGCATGTATAAAACCAGCACGGAAGCGCCGAGAAACACGTACATGAACAGTATCTGCAGCAGTAACAGGAAAGACACGGAGTTACATCAGACCACGCCGGCTCATGTCTGTGGGTCACGGTGGGACTGGTTAAGACATACTAACAATTAGAGACAACTTCAGCTACGGAAAATAATTAGCGTTGCAGTCTGTTAAACAGGTCAGACCCAGGTGGGTAGTTTTATCCCTCCCTTTCTGTAAGTTGGTCCAAGGTTAGCTCATGGGTTTCCCTTCCACCCATCTGTCTGGCATCGCTGGTGCTGGCCCCGAGCAGTCCTGACGTCAGTGCACCAGGGCGGCTTCCCCACGGCAAGGGGCAGGGACGGCTGAGCTCTGGCACCAGAGTCCAGCCAGCCGAAATCTGGTCCCCACTGAAGTCGCTGGGCACGTCCCCAGAGAGTGGGGAGACGCTGGGATCCCCTTTACTGGGGCAAACTGGAGCAAAGTGGCAGAGATATAAGAGGATTCTCCCGGGAGAGCCTTCAGCTTGGCTGCCTTGGGAATTTGTCTTGCCATAAGACAAGACACGGGTGGTAGCACAAGGTCCTTAAGGGCTCCTTGTCCGATGGGCCCTGGTGGCGTTGGGGTGTCTCTGGCTGGCCGGGTGTGGATGGAGCTATACCTGCCATGGGTGTTGGACATAGGGAGTGGGGGGACAGGTGGACGGGACCTGTGTCCCATCCCAACCCAACACTTCCCATTCCCTCCAGTGCTGCGCTCCCTCTGATCAAACGCAGCATTGAACTTGGGGTGGGAGAGGGCACAAGGTGGTTAATACGAGCGGGTATCCCCTAGGAAAGCCAGGATGAGGCGCTCGGGGGGGACCCAGGGACATCCCCCTCACACACACACTTGGCATTCATCTGCTGCTGGCAGGAAGCACAGACTTTGCCACCCGGGTCCAAGCCCAGTCCTGATGCTAATGCAGAGGCAGAGGCTGAGCCAGGGGCCGCATCCTGCCCCGGTTACAGAGGCGGCAGCTCTGAGCTGAGCTCAGCTGGCCTGCGCGGGGCAGCCACAACAGCACGGGTGTCGGAGAGGAACAGAGTGAGCAGGAACAGTCTGGCAGCATCCCTGGGAAAGTGAACAGGCTTGGGGGACATGGGGGTCCCCCCAAGGCAGGGGAGATACCAGCTGGTTCCCAGCATGTGCTGATGCCATGCCCTGAACTCCCAGCTTCTTGCCCATGAACTTCGGGGGGACAGCTTCACAAGTTGGTCCCTACCTCCTACCACCAAGGAGGGCAAAGCCAAGCCCAAAGCGCGGCTGGGCAGTGCCCTGATCTCAGCCCAAGTGCACCAGGAGGTGAAATGTGAAGCCTCAGTGAGCAGGGCCTGAAGGGAAGGGGGGATAAGGGGTTCCTCAGCTGGCTGCAGTGGGTTCAGGGGGGGCAACGGTGCTGGTGGTAAGAGGGAGCAGCTGTGCAGGCATGTGCACGCGCGTGTGCCGGAGAGCCACGCTCAGAGCCAGGACCCGGCCTCCCTTTCTGCTTTTCCGCACAGCATTTATCAGCCCTGTCATTCCGGAATGGTATTTTTTCCTATTTCTGTTCATTTTCATCTCTCCCCAGATGAGAATTTTCCCTGATTTAAGCAATGCCTCCTCTGCTGCGGGTGGCGAAGAGGGGGTGTTTGCTTTATCTCTGTCTCTTCCCCTTGCAGGCTCTGCTCCGGCCGCCCTCCCTGCTTCATTTTACTTCCTACAGAGCTGGTAAAAATAAACATGTTTTTGTTTGCATATATTCGACTGGCCTGCAATTTGGCTGATGGGGGGGCCTCCTCAAGGGACAGCAGCTGCACGCATCTGGATTTGCTTTAGAAAAATGTGCCTGGAAAATAAACTCAAGCCAAGCACACACACGCGTGGGTGCACAAGGTCATGGGTCAGTTTTTTTCTAGGGATGAAAAAAAACCCCAAAAAGAGAAAGAAACCAAGGCCAATTCAAAGGTGAGGTGCTGGGGGACCTCACTGCTGCTCTCCCAAAGCCAAGGCACTCGGGTGGGTTGGGCATGAACATGAGAACTTTCTAGCCACCCCAAAAATTGCTTTTCCTGCTGACCATGACTGAGCCCAGTTGTGGTTGTGGGAAGGGAGAGGAAGGGTTTGCACTGCAAAAATAAATTTCCCACCTGGAGAATATTAACCTCAAAGGTTAATGTGTGAACTTTGTCTGAAGATGAAGCATCCCTGTACGGAAACATCCCTGGCTCAGCATCCGCAGAGCAGGGGGAGTACATGAACTCTTTAAAAGAATGCATTGCTGGCCCCGAGGTTTTGGCAGAAATCAGTGAAGTTGTGCTGAGAGTCCCGTGATGCACCTAGAAAAATATCTAAGAGTCTTTGCTCCAAGCGATGGCTCGCCAGCCTTGCACTGGAGCAAAGTCAAGGACTGAACAGGTCTTTTCCCATCTACACAGGCCTAATCCTGACTGTGGCTGGCAGCTGCCATTTGAAGGGTGCTTCTGGCAACCGTGCAAGGGACAAGCAGCTGCTTTGACATTTGGATGTGAGCCAGAGGCATCAGCTGCTGGCACCTTCATGGGTGTGGGCTGGCAGACTGAATTTCAGGGGTGCTGACTCTGAACGACAGCCCACCCCATCAGCAAAGCAGCATCGTCACCCTGTGCCTGTCCCTTTCTTTATAAACCCCTCGACCTTGCACGCTGCCACGCCAAGGACAGCCATGCCCCAAGTGGTTATTTCCACCCAACCCTCTGTGTCTGCCCAGGACGTGCCATCGCTCCTGGCTCCACCTGTTTTACCATGGGACATAGGGAGGAAAGAACTGCAAGGCCAGAGCCAACGGCTGTAGTGACATTATTGGAGTTGTGGGGATATTTTTGGAATAACCCTGGTCCTAGGGCTCTGCAGGAAGGCGAGAGATTGTTGGGGAATGCAGCCAAGAGGTTTCAAGCCCTCCTCAAATTCCCTTTGCCCAGAGTCAGGGCACAGGGTGATGGCACAAACTCCCGGCTGCATCTAAGCGAGCCTAGAGGAAGAGGAGAAGACATTTTCCCCCAAGAACACCTCCCCTGCTGCTCTGAGCTGCAGTCCCTGGGGTCACTGCCCAGCTGGGGGCTGTGCCACAACCTTGGCACGAGCGATGGAAGGGGCAGGGCTGGGCGTTTGCCCCTCTCTATGGGGTCCCACAAATCCCAAGCAGAAACCTGCCGTTACAGCCGGTGGAGGAAAGGGGAAAACCCCACCAAGAGGTTTTCTGGGAGTGGGCACACAGTGCTGGCCACCTCCTTGGCATTGCCAGGGCTGGGGGGCAGAGGATCCCCTTGGCACAGAAGCAAAACACCAGAAACAGGCAAAACAACCTATTCCCTGGAGATTATTAAAAGCACAGATGAACTGGCTGTGGGTGAGCATAGCAGGAGTTTCTGGCTGGCTGCTCCAGAGGAGGGAGGTCAGCCCCGGGGAGAGTTACTGCTGCCCCCTCCAGCAGTGTCCCCAGGGCAGGGTGGGGGGACATGTCCCCAGGGTGGCTGTGGGGATCCCAAGCCAACACCCAGGAGAGGAGCTGGTCTCTCCTGGAAAGCTGCCAGCTCTCCAGAGCGGTAGGGAAGTGAGGCCAGAGGAAACCTCAGAGGGGAACTCCCCATCCCACTTCAACAGGTAACATTGCCCTTAATGATAGTGCTCTAAAAATAACAGATACATTTTGGGAACTACTGGGTGACAAGGGTGGCAAAGCCTCCTAGAACACCTGATGCTTCATCCCTAATCCTTTGCCAGTCACTCCCCAGAGCATTCTATAAATCCAAGCACATGTGTGCAGGAGGCAATGGGGCTGCTCCTCCTCCCTTTTTTGTAACCAAAGGGGAAATCAAGGCAGAAGCCAAGCAGACTTGCCCACAGCTTCAGGAGGAGTTGGTGTCGGAGGCAGGATGAGTGCTGCAAGCCCTGCAGCCCTCTCTCGTTTTGAGGGGGTGTGGGGGGCCCTTTGCCAGGCACGGGTGGGAGCACTGCCAGCCCCTGAGGAGGGACACAGTTCCTGCATGGGTTGATTGCTACCAGGCACTTTATTTGAAGGAACCCAGTTTCACCAAGAGGGCAGGAATATGCTCTATATAACAAGTTATTTATTAATTTTAACAGAGCAGGGACATTTCTTCACACCCTCTGCTACGTCCACTTCATCTTTCCACCTCCTGATCACAGCCTGAACCCCTCTTCTCACCGAGCGGGGCAAGATCTGCCCTGGGCCCACATCCCTGCACCACCCTGCCGCTGGCTGCCAGACAGACAGACGCACGCCAGCTCCCAGGGCAATGGCACGACGTGTGCCACCCCAGCCCATCCTCAGCACATCCCTGCTGCCCACGGGAGCTGAGGGGAGGCAGGTGGGCTCACCAGCACCCCTCATCCAGCACAGGGATCCCACCTACACACTGTGCTCTGAGCCACGAGGGGAGGCAGCCCAAAGGCATCCCCCTCCTTCCCCATTCTCACTCTGAGGGAGCACGTCTCTCCCACCCCGCCAGCCCCCCAGGAGGGTTTCCAACAGCCAGCCAAGGACAGGGACTGGGGGTGATGGGGGGAGGCGAGGGCTGCTGCCAGCCCACGGTGCAGGGTGAGGGGCAGGTGAGAGCGGCTCCGGCTGCAGCCGTCAGCCCTGCCACCCTGCCAGGGGAGTAGAGAAAGTGCCAAGCAAAGTGTTTTCAGTGCCAGCCAGGCAGCTGGCGGTCCATATAAGCGTCGCACCCCCAAAAGCAAGGAGCCAGGTTTACCCAGGGGCTTTGCATGGGAAACAAGGGTGGTGTTGGTCATCAGCGGATGGGGCTGCACGTCACTGCTTCTCAGGAGAGTTTGTGCAAGGGACTTTGAGATGGCACAACCGAGGTGCAGGGCTTGGGAGGTGGTGATGGACAGGCCAGAACAGTAAGATGGAGCCAACAACCAACTCTCTCCCCTCGCGCTCTGCATCCCCTTCCAGCGTCCCCTACAACTGCTTCACCCCGACCCACCCACACCCTTTGTGGTTCTATTATTTTGGCTTATTTAGTTTGTTTTTAAACCCCATTGAGATCAAATTGTGACTTGGCAGCTAACAGAGCTGGCCCTACCGGGCTCCCCAGACTGAGCGAAGATCTTGAGAAGAGACCAGAGTGAAGTCCTGGGGTGAGCGAAGCCCTCCCTGCCCCTCGCCTGGCCCTGCTGGCCGCTCACAGGGTGGCGGTGGGGTACTGCGCCCAGCCCACCTCCTTGTACGCCGCCGTCACGTGGGTGTAGATGAGGGTCCTCATCTTGGTCCAGGCACCGTGTGCCTCCGGGGTGAAATCATTGGCATATTCCTCAGCAATGACTTCCAGCATGACACCAGTGAGTTTCTGGAAGGAGGCAGACAGCCAAGGGTTACTAACTCTCCAAGGAGCAGCTTACAGTGAATATAGCTTTTTCCTACAAAAACAATGTAATCCTATTGCTGCATTCTGGGAATGATGACCCAGATGTTCAGGAGGTCTGTGACACCCCAGGGATGAGACAGGGCAGGTAACGAGCCTGCCCAGGCAGGGGGATGCCAAGACCCGGGCACAGTGCCATGCTGCTTGCAGGTACAAGCATCTCCCTAATTTAGGCACTTCAAATTATTTAGTCCCTTCTATCACGCTTGATTTCTAGAAGAAAGGACATATAGCCACAGCCATACTGGAGGGGCTGCAGGCAGGACTCAGGCAGGCTGGTTTCCCTGGGTAAGGTACTTGCTGCTCCCACATCAGCTGTGTTTGGGAGTGGTAGTCTGTGTGGGACAGCATTGCAGGGGGACACTGTGGCCACAAGGGGGGTGACCCCAATGACTAGCCAACCTCATCTGGGAGAGGATGGGCAGCACCTGCTTACCACAGCTTCCTCTCTCCTGCCCACTGCCTAATTTCTAAAGCATCCCAGAGATTTTTCTTTGCTCCTATCCTTTACCTTAAAGTAGACAGGCTCCACTTTGTGCTTGAGGGCATGGGCCTTGCCCACCAGGGCCAGAACAGAGGAAACCTTTTCGGAGTCATTGAGGTTCTCCACCACAGTGTTAATGGCACCCATGACCCGCCGAGCGTGCTTACGCAGTTGCAAGCTCCTCTCCATCTCCAATGGGTCCTCCATGTGCTTGAACTGGCTGAAGTACTGCTTGGCCGAGGGAAAGTTGACAAAAAACCTTCAAGAAATAATAGACATGAAATACCATCAGCAGGGCAAGTGCAGGCTGAGAGGTTAAAGCAAAGCATGGAGTGGTGGAGATGCTGGAAACCACCCCCATGCATCTAACACAGCCATGACTGGTTTTCTCATTGAATTCCCCAGGAACTGTGGCACTCAGCTGCCTCAGAATCAGCAGGTTAATGCCTTTCTCCCCAGCCTTCCCTGGCTGCTACAAGGGAATGCTGCAGCTGGATAATCATCTACAAAGCAAAGGCAAGACTAAGTTCTTAATACCCAGAAACTGCACCCAGGCATGCCAGATGCTGTGTACATACTCACATACTTCATAATCTCATGTCCTGCCTCAGAGAGTGGGAGATGAGCATGAAAACCTCTTTTTATCCCAGTCAGCCTCTCCCTGCCCCTCTTCCCCAGTCCCACAGCAGCTTCCGGGCACCATGAGCTTTATTCCTGCATTGCCACCCAAAATAGTCTCTCCCTGCTCAGGATACCCCCATCTTTCACAGATCAGCCCACCAGCCTCCAGCAAGATCTCATCCCTGAGCTCACATCACTGCTCATCTGTGCCGGGAGCCGTTTCCCCCAGCACAAGGACACCCCAAACACCCAGCCAGCCCCTCTGAGGTGCTGAGGCCCCTCTTTTCTGAGAGATTAAATCAACCCCAGTGAAATGCAGCAGAGGCAAATGAAGTTGTGGTTGCAGCTGATGTGCTGAGCTCCCCAGGGAGTTGGAAGGCTGGGGGAGGTGGGGGAGGTTGGATTTGAAGGACTTAAGGTGACAGGGTGCAGGGGTGGGACCACCAACGCCAGCATTGCAGCTGGTGGCTCTCGACAGCCGGGTTCAACACTGGAGTTGCATGAATCATTCCTTTCCACCTGATTTGCACAGGACAGAACCACTTCAGCGTTTGCTCTCCCCTTTCACCCAGCTCCCTCCCTTCGATGAGGTTCTCCCTGTGTTCTCCTGGCCCCTCTTTGCCTGGACCAGTAAAGGACATTCAGGAGGTAGCAGGTGGCTCCCAGGGCTGTCCCCTATTGTCCCTGGCTCCAGACAGACTGCCTCCTCCCCACTCCCAGGCTGCCGTAACCCCCTCCCCAAGCACCATCTCAAACCATGTGAACCCATCCCACCCTTTTTCCCAACCATCACTACCTCCCTCCACGACCAGGTGGGATCCTCTTCCCTCCTCACCACTCCACGAATATTCACAATATTGAGGACCAGGCTCATTTACCACTTAGTTATTCTCCTTTTCCCCTCTCCCTTCCTTCCCCCGCTCCCTTGGCTTGTGAAAGCTTGGGGGCATTGCCAAGGAAGCGGCATGAAGCAGTGCCTGGAGTGCACCACCGCTTCTGTTGCTTCCCCGAGGCATCTGGGATTCATCAGACGGCCCAAAATAGGTTTTGGAGGTGTGAAGAGTGTGTGGCAGAAAGGGTGGGGGAGGAAGGAAGGTGGAAGGGGGGGACAAGGTGTTGCTTTTAAAACCCAGAGGGGACCTGTGACAAAACTCCTCTTGTTATTGTTGCAGCCTCCTCCCCAGCAAAGCTCCTCCTGACACATCTGGTCCCTGTCGGGAGGAATCATTCCCAGGCCTGACTGTCTCCAGTTCCTGTTGCCACAGAGATATTCAGTCCATACCCTTCAGCTCAGAGCTGTCAGAGAGGTGGTTGGGGATGGATAACGGTCCCCTGGCCGGGGGACAGAGCTGGCTGGGGCCATGCTGATAGCACCCTTCCCAGGATTCAAGATTTCTGCCCTGAGCATTTCCCAACAGAAAGACAAATGTTCCTCTCTGTTTTAATGGGACCATTTTTTCCATCCAGCCCCATCATCCTTCTCCCCCTGGCCCCCCAGCCCTGTCCCTCCCTACCTCTGTGCAAGGCAGCCCTCAAGATCAATGCCCTCCAGCTACCGACAGCAGACACCAGTCAGAGCTAAGGGTTTTGCCATCCCTGCCCACAGGTCTTTTCCCCCTCACCATCTGGCTCTGGAAGGCATCCCCCCAGGTGCTGGGAGCAGAGGGTGCTGCTGGAAGTGGGACCTGCTGCCCACAGACTACCCCAATGCAGGGGATGGAGGCTGCCAGCTGGTCAATGTCTGCCCAAGCCTCTGAATCCCAAACCATCGTTCCCTGAGAGTTCCCCGAAAAGCCCCATTTGATCTTCAACATGGTGGTGTGAAGACCCAGGGAATGAGCTGAGAAAAAATTCTGGTCTGAGTCAGGCTCTTTCAGCAGAAGGGGTACAGCAATGGGGGACCAACTCCACATCACCAGGGATTGCAGCATCCCCCAAGAGAAGGACTGAAAGGAGCTGCTGGGACCGATGCCCCTCAGGAGCAGGGGCTTTGTGCCTCTCCCACAGCATCACCTCTACCTCCCTGCTGCCTTTGACCAGCTACACCACAAGCAAAGACTAATTAAACCCCCAAAAGTTCCCAACTTGGGTGAGACCAGGCCAGTGAAGAACTCAGAGATTTGATTTCCAACCTTTCTCCACTTTGCAGACCCTCCAGGTGATGCCCCCGTGGAGCTGAGCCCAGCACCTTTCCTAAGGGACCTGCAAAAGGGACGGCAGTGATGCTCAAGAGTTGTAAAACCGGCAAACCCCTGGCTCGTGCCTGACCCCATGTGCTGTCTGCTCTCCTTTATCAATGGGGAACTGAAACTGGGGAGCGCAAACTATCTTTGCTTCAAGTCCAAAAACAAACCCGTGGCTGGCCAGAGACCTGCAGCCCTCTCTCCTTGGCCAGTGCTTCTCTGCAGGGCTGGAGAAAGGCAGGCGCCTGCGGCAAGAACTTCTGGCCTGGAGCAAATATTTGAGTTGTCGAACTGAGAAGAAGAGGGAAGGAGGCTCGCTCAGGGGTAGTTAATAAACAGAGAAGATTAATTTAACACAAAGGTTAAATATAACCAGGAGAAAGGAGGGGAAAAAAAAAAAAAAAAAGGAAGAAATAAAATAAGTCAAACAATAGCGACTTAGAAGAGGTGTCAGTTGGGGTTTTTCCATCTACAGAACATTTTTTGAGAGTTCAAACCTCTCAGGCTCTGGAATTTTGTTGGCTCATTATGTGTGCGTGTGTTTTGGGCTCTTTCTTCATCGGAGTCATTAAAAAGATGATACTTACCATTGCATATCACACAAAATGATGATTGATAGAAACCAGATGCCTGCATACCGATCTCATTAAATTTCTTTTTAAGCGATTCCATTCTGCACCCGCTAATTTGTACTCCGTGAGCTACATCTGGAACCAACGGACAGGATGTCAGGATTGCTTTTCCTCTCTCTTTTGCCCTTTTAACAGCTTTAAGGACACAACCGTTCCCAGTAGCAGAGCCAAAGGAAATAATTAAGGTGCAAAACCACTGCAGTCACTGGGAACCTGTTTCCTGGGTTTTCTCTTCAGGAGGAGATGCCACTTCTCCTCCCCTCTCCCCAGTCTCCTTCCCTCCCCCCAGACCCTGCAGAGCAAACCCCACACAGAGAATTCCCCAAGTCCAGCCATCCCTTTCCTTTCCCAGCTGGAAGGAGGAAGGAAGCTGCTTGTTTGATCCTCCTGAGCACTTAAACCCTTGATACCTCACTTACCCTGTTCGCAAACTTCAGGGCAAAAATGCTAGTGAGCCCTTGAAGCTGCTGGGAGGCTTCAGCTGAACCCTCAGCCAGCACTTGTAGACTTTTGCTAGATTTTCCTACCAATGCATTCATGTTTTCTCTCGCCTCGTCCCTCTACGTGGGAGAAACTCTCTCTAATGCAGCCTGGAGTCTCTCCGTGTCCCTTTTCAAACCTCTCCTTCCAACTCCTTTCTGCTCGGGTGCCTACAAAGCAGCTGATAATGGGTAGGCAGGTGGTGTGTGGTGCTGCTATTTATTATGCCGAGGGCTGTCTCACTGCTTCGCCTGCACGTTCCCCCTGTTCCCCCCAGCCACCTGTAGTCTATTGTCCTATTTTTGGGCTGGGGCAGGGCTGCTGAGTGCTGCCTGTGTTTACAGCTCCCAGCCCAAGGTGAAAAAGGTCTCAGCCATGTCAATGCCACCACCCAGCAAGACAGAAAAAGACAGATCTAATTGGAGTAAGCAGAGGATTGTGCCTGCTTGCCCCCACAGCACAGCTCTGCCCGTGTTCTCTCTCTGAGGGCTCACGGACTGGTGGAGGTGGTGGTGGGCAGCACCTCCAGCTCTGGTGCAGGAGGGCTGGAGGGCAAAGGGCCAAGCCCCCAGTCCCCGCACTGATGCTAAATTCAACTTCTACAGCTGAGGGAGAAGAGGTGAAGCTGGCCTTCCTCCAGGTGAAACCCACATCCCACTGAAAAGCCTCAGGAGCAGATTCCAGCACAACACAAGCTGTGCTCGGGGCTGTAACACCCCAGGCAGTGCAGAGCCCGAGGGCAGAGGGACCAGGACACCCCAGTGAGGCTGGGAGAGGACCCAGCCAGGTACATTTGGACTTGATCTAGCAACTCCCAGGAGCATGTCCTGCTCACTTGTGTGTGCACAACTCACACCTCCAAGTCCTCATTGCTGTTGTCTTCCCCTACCCTGTATGTGGATTCAGCCCAAAGCCTCTTGGCTGTGGAGAGGAACCTTTAGGCTAGGGGTAAGGACAGCTTTCATCAGATAAATGAATTGACAGTACCAAAGTGGCTTTTCCACATGGCTCCGGTTTCCTACGGCCCTTGCAATCCCCTATGCTCAGTGCCTTCATCCACAGCATCATTCCCGTCCTCCACAAGCATGTCCCTGCCCCTCTCCACTGCCAAGCCACTCTCTCCACCTGCATCCCTGCCTGCTGGATGCAAGCAGCTCCCAGGGACAGGGATGGCTGCATCAGCCCCTTCCACCCCCCCACCAGCATCTCCCCCCACCCAGGCACCCTTCCTACAGCTCTGCCAAGCAGGGTCAGCGCAGCCCCACGGGGTCCATGGGTGTTAGGAAACAATGGTAAAATGTGACTGTTTCCTCCAAGGCAGATGCACCATGAGGATGGAGCTT